AGAAGAAGCAAAGTACCAGAGGATAGTACTTTACCTTCTACAGCACAGAGAGGGAGACACCAACAAGCTCGGAGCTCCACTCCCTACTTTTCATCCAGGACAAACTGTCTTGAGAAGAAATTCCTGCAAATTCTTACCCATGAAATAAGCCCCAAAACTGGGCGGTGGGTTTGAACACTTTAGCCATTGGCTGGCAGAGAGGGGTTGCACTCTCCACCCAAAAATGCCCTCTCCTCCCCGCTGTAACTGTGTTCAATTCAAACACCTGGAGTTTGTCTGGACATTAACTCTTTCTGCGGGCAGCCCACAGAGAGGCATGGCTTGGCTCCTGAAAACCTTGGCTGCTTCCCTTCTGCACCACTTCCCTCTATCCTCAAAGTCAGGGTGGGAGGGGAGCGGGTTCCCACAGAGGGGAGAGCCCCGATATTCCAGCCTCAACCCCTTGCAATGCACCAGGAGTGAAGTAATGGACACCAAAGCCTGTGGAAAGCATTAGTCTGTCCTGGCCACCTCAAAGGCCCTGGGATCCCAAGTCACTAGATGATAGACAGTTTGTGGTATCATTGCACACAGAGGATATCTCCATAGGCTGAAGGGAGGCAGGCACTTCACCGGTAGTGTCTGGGATGCACCAGGACCTGAAGAGTTAAAGGAAGCCCAATGTGCCCTGTTTTTTTTGTTGCAAGGCCCAAACTCACCATTTTTGGCAAATAACAGAGATGATGCAATTCCTCCCTCTCTGATGGTGCTGCAAAGTGCAGATGACACCATTCCCCAGTAGGCCCCTTTCTTTAAGTGACGTGAAACCTGTGCCTTTCTGTCCTTTGCCTGGTACAGGCCAGGGGTATGTGAGAGAGGAGTCTGCATCCTTCCTGCCTTGTAAGGGCTGTTCCAAGCCTTCTCCTACCACCTTGGCAGCAAATGGCTGGAGATCAAAGAGCTGCTCAGGGACAACAGGGAACCTGCTAATCTCCCTGCAAACAGACTGCTGACACCTCCATTGCAGAGGCCAGCGGTCACGGTGATTTTTGTCTGTTTACACCCACTGCTGTGTGGGAGGAGGGAGGACCACTCATGCTCAGCCCATGCCCACTGTACCCCCAGCAGTAAGGCTGCATCTCCCCAGGCACAAGCAGTAGCCCCCGTCCCTCAGTCCTGCGGGCTGAGGTGATGCTGTTGGGGAGTTATGATTCTCCAGCTGGCTTCAGTGCTGCAGTGGGCGGCTGAGGCACCTGTGTCTATGGCAGGGGCCATAGACACAGGTGCTGGAGATAGGCCAGGAGGTGGCTACGTGCAGCCAATGTGTCTCAGCCAGGGTCCTCAGGCTTGCAAGCCTCCCACAGCAGCCACCCCCAGAGGTTTTGGTCAAGGAATGGTACCTTTCAAAAACATTTCACAATGAAACATCTTGTCTCAAAGCCAACTGGGCTCTTTTCTACTCGGAACTGCACAGTTCCAGACTATTTTCTCTCTTCTTGCTGAAGCCTGACACATAAACACCTTCAGGAACTCTGACCCTCTCCAAGCACCAAGCGTTATTTTCCAGCTCCCCCCAGTTGGCCCCATCTCATGTCATGCTGCAGCCTGCCAGGGTTAAATGTGGCACACAGAGGCCTCAAGGACACTGCTGCATGTTCTGCCTACCAACAACCCCTGAAGGTGACGCAACCTGGTGCTCTGCCTGTAATCCTGCACTCGGCAGTGGGGTTTAGGGGAGGGCAGGGTGGAAGCCTCCTGCCAAAGAGGAAAAATGTGGTGCTGAAGAAACAGGGAGCCCCAGTTACATAAGGCTGGGAATCTGCCCAGATCGGGGAAGGACATAGCACCATGGGGGCGCTGGGTTTCTTCTGCTATTGCCATGCCCTTCTCTCTCTCTGCATAACTCTGATCCTTCTCTGGATGCTCTCCCGCACAGGGTCCACAGCTCTGCACCATCTCAGAGTGCACAGAGCTTCCTGGGGCTGAAGCAGGAGCGTTCAGCTCAGCGCTTCAGGCCCTGCAAATGTGGCCAAGCACCCCTTGTAAGGCTCAGTGAAAGCGGTGGACAGGTCCTGCAGGCCGCATTTCTGCCAGCAAGACAGCTGGTTGTCTTGACTGTCAGGACCTCCAGTGCCTACACCAGCCCTGACTAGCCCCCCTCCCCCCCCAATTTGCTCCTCTGTCTCAGCAGCTGCCCCCCCATGGGTGTCTTACTGCATGTCTCTTCCGCTCCCTGTGTCTTCTGTAGCTTGAGCAGTTGGTCACAGCAGAGACCTTTTGTCTCCTTTCGGGGAAGGAGAAACTGATGATGACATGTTTCTCTGGTACTACCTTGCTCTGGTACCAGGACTGCTCAGAGGCCTGTTTCTGTGAACAGAAGACAAACCAACAATATCAAGCAGTTCCCTCTTCCAGGACCAGCCACAATTACAAAGCAGGACTGACAAATGGTGGCTCCAGGGGAGCAAAGACTCAAGCAAACCTGCGTCTCTGCCAGACTGTGGGCAGGACATGAACCAGCAGAGTTTTACCTTTGTGCTCTGCAACTCCCATCCAGGGTGTGCAGCACCCCTTTCAGAGCGCTGACCTACGTCTCTTACCAACCAGCACTATGCACAAAAATCTCTCGGAGTCGATTACAAATCACCTTACAAGTTATCTCCTCATGGTTTGCATTTATTTTCAGTGATTTCTGGCTGCTCCTTTCTGACACACATATAGCCTTAACCAATCCAGGAGCTGCTCTACACTTATATATCTATGTGTATATACATAGGCTATATGTAGAGAGAGCCTAATCTCAGCTTGGTCATTCCTGGTTGAATCAGATCTCAATAAGCAAATATGTGATTTTTCTTTTCTTTTTAAAATTCATTTCCTATCAATCCCTCATGTAGATGAGCAAACAGCCCCACACATTCCTTAGCTCTAGTGAATTTTGTGACTGTCCATAGATCCCAAGACATACTTATTTTTATAATACAGCAAGAGACAAACCTCTGTTACAGGTCAGCTCACATGAGCGCTCTGAAAATGCAAATAGTCACAGTTAAATCTGCCTTTTGCTGTGGGCAGGGCTGCTGTGCCAAATCTGCAGACATTTGCACGAGTCTCTGATCAAACCATGACTATGTATGGTTGTGCCTCCAGCAATCTTAATTGCCCAGCTTTAACCTGGAATGGAGCACAGCCCC